CCACCTGGTTCTGGAAAGCAGCCAGACGCCACGGCCCTCACCAAGGGAAGGTTTTCAGCCATTTAATGTCTCACGAATCGCATTTCCTTGCTGTCTAGTCACCTCGGAATACAGAGCACTGTGATCTCACCTCTGTTCGCACAGAGCGCGACAGCGCGGACCTTCAGTGCTAGGGGCTGCTGCTTCCAAAGCCGAGGCTGAAGGGCGAGCGGGACAGCTCAAGTGGGGGCTCGTGTAAGCTGAGCCCAGGCGTGGTGGCGCTCACCTTAATTCCCGCACGTGGGAGGCACGGGCAGGTGGATCTATGTGTTGGGCTCTAGGAGCTGCAGGCCAGCCAGGGCCACACAGCGAGTCCCTGCCGCAAACCGATGGAAGCAGCAGCAAGCGCTGGAGTCAGTGGATGTGGGTGTTTCTTTTTCTTTCCTGGGTTCTTTCTTCTTTTCAGGACAGGGTTTCTCTTGCACCCCTGGCTGTCCTGGACTGGCTTTGTAGACCAGGCTGGGACTATAGGGAACACCACCACTGCTCGGTGGATTTGCTGAGACAGGGTCTCATTCTGTAGGGCCAGCCTGGCACTCACTGAGAACAGACTGGCCTCTCCCCACACAGCCCCACCTGACACGGCCTCCTGACAGCTGAGACTAGGTGCATGCGCCACTATGGAGGACTGCAATAATAATTTTTAGATTAATTTTCCATGTTTTTCCTGCTTTTATGTTGGTGTGCCACATGCCTGGTCTAAGAGGCCAGCAGAGGGTGTCAACTTCTCCAGAACTGGGGCTCTGGAGACCGAACCTGGGTCTTCTTTGACATCAAGAAGTGCTCCTAGTTGGGCATGGTGGTGCACGCCTGTAATCCCAGCACTCAGGGCGCAGAGCTCTGTGAGTTCAAGGCCAGCCTCGTCTACAAAGTGAGTCCAGGACAGCCAGGGCTACACAGAGAAAACTGGGGGAAAAAAAGTACTCTTAACTGCTGAACCATTTCCCTAGCCCTTAAATTAATCATCTCAGTAACTTAAAGTCTACCAAGTTCTAGTTTGTAGTCAATAACTAGATTTGTAAGTTATTTTCAATCTATTTAAGGTAGCCATGTGACTATTGTCATGCAGGTGTCTTTTCTTCTGTTGAGCCGTGGTCTGGAAGCAGCCGACCGTTAGCCTTTGGAAGCAGATAACCCAAACCTGAATGCTGGCCCTCACTCAGTGGATGGCAACCTTGAACAAAGTATTAATTTATGGTTCCTGATTACACTTCTAGGATTGTGGTAGGGTCTACGTGAAGAAAAAAAAAGGCCCAGTATTTAGGCCAGTGTCTGAAAAACGGTAGTAAAATCAATTGCAGAGGCTCTTTCCTTCCAGACCCCTCACAGGCAGAGGGCGACTCCAGCCTCAGCCTTTGCCCTGGCCTCAGACCTGCTCCCCACGGGGACCGCTGGGCGCCTTCCTTTCTGCTGGCTCTGCAGGGCTCGCCTGGAGGTGGACGGACTCTGAAAAGGACTTTTTGGTCTGGTCTTGACTTCTTCCTGAGGCGGTGAAGGCCTTCCTTGGAGATGGATCTTGAGACCGTCCGAGGCATCCCGTTTTGAGTTCCTACTTTTATGCCCTGGTTTTGCTGACCGGCCACAGGGAGCAGCCCACTGTTCACGGCCTACTGACATACTGGACAGAGAGTGGAGCAGTGCGTACAGCAAACTGCCCTACCCATAGGCCTGTGCGTGTCCTCCTGTTCCTCTACTGGCTTCAGCTAGCCAGGGAGGCACCAGAAAGGGAACAGGACTAAAGATGGAAGAACGGTCTCTTACTGAAGGCTCAAGGGTGGCATTCTCTGCAGAGGGCACGGTCAGCTGCCCCAGCTGACGGCTATATAAAGCCAAGAAAACCCAGAATAGGAGCAGGGCTAAAAATAGGCTGGAAAACTTGAGGAGGCGGAAGTGTGTGAGCTCCTGGCCGTCAGGCTGCACAAGCAGCTGCTTCTGCTAAGGTGGACCTGGGTGGGGAAGGTTCGAGAGCTGGCTCAGAAGCAGCCACAACTGCCACGGTGCAATGAGCAAGCGTGAAAAGCCCCTGCAACCAATGCCATACCTGGCATGTCTGTTAAAGTTGGCTAAAGTCTAAAGAGAGCCAGGAAACTAGCACTTTAGGAGTCGCTGAGACAAGCCTTCTTTTCCACCAAGGGTGGCAGAGCTCAGCGTGAGGCTTGGAAAGTCAGCAGCAGCAGAGCGAGGCCTGGAAGCTCTTCCCAGCTGCACTGCCATGGAAGGAACAGGGGGCTGGGGAGAGGGCTTCAAGTGTCACTGCCACACCAGCTACCACAGAGCTGGCCACGAAATGTCTGAGCTTCAGTCTTCCTCCTGTAAAAGCAAGCCAACTGCTGCCAAACAGGGAACCCCAGGGCCCTAGCAGCAAATCGTGAAAGGACCAGGGCAAGGCTGGGAGGGCTGGGCAAGTAAAAGGCTCTGAAACTTGGACTCTCACTCTTCTGCTCTCCGGGGCTGTGGGTTCGAAAGAAGGTGCACACCTGGAAAAGAGGACGGTGCCAGAGCAGCTTCGCAGGGGACGGAGGCTGGACAGCCTGCCCGCCTGAAGGTTCCCCAGCGTGAACAATAGTGGTTCCCTGTGGCTGAGGATGACCTTGAATCTCTGATGCTTCTATACTGCTACCTCTGGCTGATTTGATTCTTTTGTTTTTTTTTTCCTCTGTGTATCCTGGCTGTCCTGGCTGTAGACCAGGCTGACCTCGTACTTACAGAGATCCACCTGCCTCTGCCTCCCATGCGCTGGTATTAAAGGCCCGTTACTGCCTCTCCTGCTTCTATGGGCACCAGGCAGGCATGTGGTACACAGACACATGTACACCGGTTACACACAATCGGTGAAAAGTCGGCAAAAGCAGTAAGCAAACACACACACAAAACCCCAGTGCCCGGCACTGGGCTCACGGCTCCTGTGTCCTCCTG